CGCACTATGGGATTCGAAAGAATAATACGATAATGTTTGTTTAAAAGATTTCATAAAAAAAGTCTTTGTAACTTGGAATTTGATGTTTATGCTTTTTTTTCTTGGAATAATCATAATTATGTCTAAAAAATGCATGATGCCAAAAGTTGGAGTTAAACTCTGATGGCAGTTCCCTGTTTAAAAGAGAGCTATCTAATGGCCATGCAACTACTCCAAATCTTTATTTTATCCAGAGGTCGTGCAAGAAATGATGGGTTATTGATTCAGAAATAAGGTGGACTTAACAGGTTATGAAGATTATTCTGATCTCAAATTCATTTGTTGCTCCTGAGGAAAGAACTTATGTTTAAGATTGAGATTTTTAAATATTTCAAATTTCAAAGAGAGCTCTAGGTTGAAGGAACAAACAAAAGATGTGAAGACATGGAAGAGTTGATCCTAGCTTACAAGGTCTAGGAAATGAAGCCAACCAGTTAGTAAGCTGTGTGCCTGTATTCTGGGGATGAGGGACTGGGCTGGATGGACACAGAGCTGGCAGGTGGGCTACCTCCATGGCCTGTAAGAGAAACAGCCCTTTCCAGACTTCATATACCAGGAAGGAACTGAAATATTCTCCTTGCAAGGTGGAAATTAGATTTTTTTCTCCTTGGCATGTTCATAATTATGTCTGTAAAACATGAGGCTAAAGGTCAGGTTAAGCCCTTATGGCAGTTCTCTGCTAACTTGAGAGCAAAGTGTTGTCCAATTGTCCCAGGACTTCCAAGATCTTCATGTGTAAGTTGAGGGGTGGGTCTAGACTCCACTAGAATCACTTGAGGAATTTCAAGAGAGATTGTTGTCCCTGTCTTATCTTTTAACATTCTGGTAGAATTGATTTTGGATGGGGTCTGGTCATCAGTATTTTTAAAAGTTCTTTCAGGTGTTGATAATGTCTAGCTAGCATTGAGAAACACTGGTCTAGGTGACCTCCAAATCATTTCTAGCTATAATATTTTGCAGCTTTCAAATTCTAGAATAATCACAAAATCAGTGTTGTGTAAATAAAATCACAGAGTTCTGAAATAGTAGAGTTGGAAGGCAGTATGACTACTCCAATAGCTCAATTTTACCCAGTAATCATGCAAGAAACAATAGTCTATTGATTAAGAAACAAGGCACCAGTGAAACCTGGTTTTGATTTGTCTACTTTCTGCTTTCAAATCATATATGGATGCTGGTCATGTCAGATCCAGGAAAGAGGCCATTTTTCCTATGACTTTCCCATTAGTCACACTGGCTAGAAGAACGGTGAGATGGGGATTATTAGCAAATACTTAGCCCTCCTTAATGTTCCAGGGAGTATATCCTGTGGAACTCAATCCCCCAAGTGTTTTCTCTCTGTTCCTTATTATCATATCACACTAAAGATGGGGGGCCATGGTTGACCCTTCTCTTAAGGAAGTGAAGCTCTGGCACAAATTTTGCCAAGTTCTAACACAAATTTTGTCTCTTGTTGCATCTCTGTTCTACGCTAGCATACCGAACCAAGTACATGTGGCTGCAAATTATTGTCCCCTTGTTGGTGGCGACTCTGTTTGCTGTGGACACAGGACTGTTTTTCTTGACGGAGCAGCAGTTTAAATCTCTCTTGAAGATTAAGGAAACTGAAAAAGTCAACAAACCTAGGAAGTCGCTTCCTAAGCCAGATCCTGAAAAGAGCTGATGTCATTTCTTAAGGGAGAATTGGCAACAGCAATATTTTACTGCAACAGCAATTGCTTCTCCATTGTCAGACACAACTCAGGATGTACATAGAAGCCTATGTTTGAGGATTTGCAGAATTATTTCATTAAACCGACTGTACCTGGTTAAGTGGCATGTAATAGTTAAGTGCTCAATAAATATTATTTGAATAATTGAATAATGGGTATACTCATTTTTAGCATTTGTGAAAGAGAAGCACAATTTGAATAAAATAACTATGAAGCTAGGTAACATGAGGCTTCTAGGGATCCTTGTTCATTTGCTCATTTATTTTCATCTAGAAGCAAGAACCATGAAAATATAGATTTAAAAAAGTTCTCTCTTGACCATTGTAAGTATGAGCAAGGATTTAGAATATGCTGCTGTGATTGACGCTCCTCCCCTCCGTCGATTCTTTCACGGGCTCTTCCATGTATCTAAATTCTTGTTTCAGACCTGTTTCTATCCCCTCTTTCTTCCCATTTTCTTTTTCATGTTAACACTTATTATTTTTCCAAAAGGAATGTGAAACAGAATTAGGACTTGAACATTATGTGGATTTACAAAATAGGCCATTTGCAAGGAGGTCTTCTTACTTTAATGCATAAAATATTTTCTCGCAATGCCAGAGGAGTATGTTAGACAGATGACTAGAAGAATTCATCCCAAATTCTCCCTTGCACTGTCCTCTGTCACCTCTGATCTTTTACCAAATGGGTCTAGGAAAAAGCATGGAACAACATTTGTTCTCTCACAGGAGGCCACCACACATCATCATGAGCTCCCAGTTAGGAGTTGGTTTTCTGAAAATCATGGCAGCCATTCTTCTGCTTGTGGCCAATGAAAGATAAATTCTATGGGCTGCCTCCAGGATGGAGATTCAGGTGAAAGATCCCCCAAGTCAGTGTGTTGGAGAACTGAGGCCTTGAACAAAAACTGTGTCCTTCCCTCTCCTCATTAAGTGGGAAATGAAGGGAGCAGGTGCCTCTCTTTGAACCTATAGGTGAAGCTTCCTGTTGTGGTAGGCAGAGGCACCTGATAGCCCAGGTTCCAGTGTCACCTCAGAAATTGAAGATATTCTCCAGCCTTGGTTTATCAGACTAGCTCTGTGCAGTTACTTACCAAGTTCATGTCCCCATTGGTACTTCTTCAACCTCCACAATAGTCACACCCCAAACCCTTAACCCTACAAATGCACCCAGGATCTCTTCAGCTTCACTTCAGTTACATCCCCTACAGAACCCACAACCTTCTCTTTTTCAAATTGGAGAGACATAGGCCCACTTTTAGTCTTTCCCATTGTTGATTTTCAGCACAGTCCTCAAAGCAGCAGAGGTCTCACTGGGAAGTAGAGGCCCTGGGCTGCAAAGAAAATGAAATTGCTCATGAAGAATTTTGGAGAGACAAAAATAAAATGACTCCTTGTGGATTCTGAGAAAAAATCAGATTTTTATTTTTAACCAGTTTCCAAGAACATAATACTGCACTGCTGACAACTAAATTGAGTCCCTATAAATATAGCTCAATAAACATGATGCAATCATTTTATAAATATCCAAATACAGGAGCCACTGACCTCTGCCTTCACTAGGATATAGAATGGCTAAAAATCTGAGCTCTCACCTTATGTCAGTGGCTGATTCAGAAATGAGATCCTAAAATGTTGCAAATTGGCAACCCCAGGAAACAGACTCTGAGACACAGATTTAAATGCAGCAAGTTTATTAGACTATGCTCTTAGCAGCTATACCTTTGTGGGAATGAAGGAAGCAGGATGCAAAAATAGGAGAAGTTGAGATGTCAGGTGAGCACAGCAAAACTCTCAGACAATTTTGTGGATAAGAACCCCTTGGAGTTAGGAGAGCTCTTCTTAATTGTCTCAGGAAATGCAATAGTTTGAACCAGGCAAATTACTGGTGGCAATATACCCCAAAAGGTTAGTGTGAATTTGTAGGAGAGAGCTCCTTTGCAAAGATAGTTCCTGAGGAGGGACTCACCAAGATCCCTCAATCCATGGTTCTCTCATCACCTGGAGGGACAAGGCATGTGTGGGATGTGTCGGTCCTGAGGGGTGTGTGTGATCCAGGCGGCATGCCACATTATCCACCAAATTCAACTTCAGAAAGAAGACAGACTCAATAGGTTTGACCAGATTAAACAGAATTACTAAGCAACATTTTTGAATTCTGTTTTGATTAACCTCACAGGAATGAGTTACTCTATCATTTCTGGAAATCTGGACACAAAAGCAAAGATTATCTTTTATCCTCAGTCAGATTTCACATGCTAGTGTTTTTGTGCAGAGAGACATATGTTCATTTGAGTTAAAGGATGGGTTCATCTCCATCGACTTGCCCCATTCTCAGCTCTCAGAAGATCTGAAAACACTTTCACAAGTGATAGGTAGCCTCTGCAGGGTCATGCTACAAGATCAGGTGGATTCTGGATGCTACAGGAAGAGTGCTTTAAACTCAGGGTATGTTTCCTTGCCATTAGCACTTATACTGTGCTAGCCTGCAAACATTCAGTGCACTGTGAAGCCCAGAATGGAGAGGAAAGACCAGACACAGGATACTTTCTTGCACCAGTGCATCTCACTTTCACCTTCTGTGACACAGGATACTTTCTTGCACCAGTGCATCTCACTTTCACCGTCTGTGACTTGAAATGCTGTTTCGAACTTGGGTTTAAAGTTCAGAGTATTCAAGAAGAGACTCCTGAAAAATTAACTGCATCAGGTTTAAGAGATTCCTGTAAAAATTTTTTAAGCCAATGTTAAGATTTCGGTCCATTAATAAATATTTTCCATCGTTGTAGTTAAAGTGCTTGTGTTTTTAATACTGTTTCAGAGAGCTTAGTTCTACCCTGCAAAAGGAACACTACCTTTGCTTGGCTTCTTCTGACCTCTATCCTCTTTATTCCTGTGTTGAAAGGAAGAAAAATGTTAAGATTTTCAGCATGGCCTTTTTTTTTTTTTTTTTTTTTTACTGCAAGCTTTCTCATCCGGGCACCTCAGGACTAGGAATAACCGCCATCTATGTCATCTGTAGCGGACAGTTTTATCACTCCTTATTCCCAGGTCAGATAAGGCAGATGTGTCTGCAGCCTTTGAAGACTTCCTAGGTTGTGATGGAATGTTAGCAAGCAGCAAAAAGAGAAGAAAGTCTTCAACAATGTATGTGCATGTGTGTTTCCTCATTTACTTTTTAGGATGACTGCCCAGGTTACTCTGACACCCTTAACAACATGCAAAAACAACAAAGAATTCTTTCTTGACGTGGTTTGCAAACCTTTTATTCATCAGCTTTTTAGGACCCTGCAGGACTAACTGGAATTGTGTAAGTAACTGAAACTATTCTCAGGATGTGTGTTGCTATGTGCAAGTGTGCATGGGCACACCTGGGTATGAGTGACATGGGTATGTAAATCCTCCTACTCTATTTTTTATAGATATGCCAAGTCATTTTCTCATTCCTATAAAGCAGGATGTGGAAAAGCAAGACTACCCCAAGAGGAAGCCCCCAATTTTAGCACCCACTTCAACTTAGTTCACTCTTTTTGATCCCATATGTATGGATATTTATGAAATAGAATAAAAATTAATACATTATACACTAAAAAGACAAAAAAAAAGTCTTCACAATCTGTCCTGATTAAGGAGAGAGGGGCTTTCTCCCCAAGGCTCTTCGCAAAGCATCTTTGACTTCCTTGTTCCTCAGGCTGTACACCACAGGGTTCAGCAGAGGCGTGATGACGGTGTATGTCACTGAGATGAGTCTGTCCTGCCCCAGGGAACTCTGGGACTTGGGCTTGAGGTAGACGACGGAGGCACAGCCATAGTGGATGATGACCACTGTAAGGTGGGAGGCACAGGTGGCGAAGGCCTTCTTCCTACCATCTGCAGAAGCAATCTTGAGAATGGTGGAGATGATGAGGACGTAGGAGATGAAGACCAGGCCCATGGGTAGGACAAGGACACAGACACTGACAGCCAAGTTGACAATCTCATTGAGAGTGGTATCTGCACAGGCCAGCTTCAGGAGGGGTCTCACGTCACAGAAGAAGTGGGAAATAACAAAGCCATCACAGAAGGGCAGGCCAAACACAGACATCACCTGGACAATGGCCATGCCCAGACCAATTCCCAGTGACCCAGATGACAACCGGACACAGGCCCTCTTACCCATGATGACTGAATACCTCAGGGGGTTGCAGATGGCCACGTATCGGTCATACCCCATGGCCGTGAGGAGGAAGCAATTGTTGATGCCAAAGGTGAGATAGAAGAAGAGCTGGGTGGCACAGCCTTGGATGTCTATGGTCTGGTGAGGATTCAGGAGGCCAGAAAGCATACGGGGAATGATGGCCACCGTGTAGCAGGTCTCAGAGACAGACAGCATGCTCAGGAAGAAGTACATGGGCGTGTGGAGGTGACGGTCCAGCCGAATAATGGTCACGATAATCACGTTGCCAGACAAAGTCAGCAGGTACAAGGTTAGAAAAACAACGAAGAAGACAAGCCTGTGCCTCCACCCAAAGCTGGAGAAGCCTTCAAAGACAAATTCAGTCACAAAAGTGGAGTTTGGCTTTGGCATTGGGAAAAGCCTAAGAAAGAGCTAGGTAAAGGAAATAAAGATGTGATAAGTGAACCTCGAAAGAGAGTTGGCTGGGCCCAGGACAAAAGTGTGTTCAGCCTCCGAGCAAAGCCTCAAACCCCAGGGGCCATCAGTGTTCACCTACTGGCCAACTGCTCAGTGTACCTCATTGCCCACTTTCTTCTTTGTTACTCTAGAGGGTTTTCCCCTAGTTCCTTGGGATTAAGGGCAGAGATGGAGGCGAGAGGGAAAGTAGATAAATTAAATACAATTGAATCAAATTAAAAAGGGATTTGTAGCAATAGCTACCTTATTTCAATTTCTTGACTATACATCCAGAAGCTGGATTGCTGGGTTATATGACAGTCCTATTTTTAAGTATTCGAGGAACTTCCCTACTGCGTTCCACAGTGGCTGCATCATTTTACATTCCCACCAATGTTGTAAAAGGATTCCAGTATATACACATCTTTTCTAACATTTGTTTTCTATTGAGAATAGTCTTAGGGAGTTTTTAAAAAATATTATCCATGCTAATTGTTGGGAGGTGATATTGTGGTTTCAGTTAGCAATTCCCAGAGATTAGTGGTGTTAATCAGCTTTTCAAATACCCAAGTTGCAATCCGAACATCAAAGAGATATTTGTATGCCCATGTTGATTGCTACTCTGTGTGCACAATAGTCAACTTACAGAAACAAGTTGTCCAGAGACAAATTAATGAATTGTGAATGAATTAGCTAATGAATAAAAATGTTGTGTCTTTTCAACAGCATCCACTGCAACATTCACTGCCATGTGCCCTGCAAGGTCCCCACAATGACATCACTTTCCGAGAGCCCAAATCTAGTCCTGGCTTTCACCTTCCTAAGCCCTGTACCTACATCCCCTGTGATCCTGGAAGATTAGGAAAGGGAGCATTTTGACTGGCTAGTCTTCCCAGAGACCCTGCAACAAATATCCTCTAAGACCATGAAAAATCATTTCATAAGGCACTGTAGAAATGTAACTTATCTCCTTGAATTCTAAACCAAAGAGGGAAAGGGAATGGAATGAACCCGAGGATGACTCTTCAAATAGGAAACAGACTTTCCTAGTGTGACAGCAAAGATAAATTCATTTAACCAGACAAAGTCCAGAGGCCCACGGTTTTACTCCAATTCTCCATATTCCAAGCTATGTTGGGGACAGAAATGAATTGGCCCATCTGCATTTTGCCTTACCCCAAGCGAATCTAGCACAGGAGAATGTAGTTGGGCAGCTTTCACCCTGATCCTCAACCAGGTTTAACCATTCAGAAGGCTGAGAATGACTTCCCTTCCCTTTTCCGACCCCCAATGGGAGTCCCTCCTGAAACTCTGCTCTCTGTCCCCTTCTCTCTATACTGTTACCAACACCCAACTTTTGATGACCATCATCAAACCCTCTGATAATGTGATGGTCCCCTAACTCACACTTCTCACTTCAGGTACCTTGCTACTGAAGTACTCTTGTCATTGTAATCTTTCAAAAAAAAAAAAAATCTATTCATGCAGCAACCCTGAGTAAGTTTCTTCAATAGCTCTTCAAAATTTTAAGCACAATATTAAACTCATTTCTAAATTGATTATAGTAATAAAACACTGAGTTGCCAAGAGAATTAAATTGGTTAATGTATTTAAAGAATTTGACCTGGTGCTTGACATGTTGGAAATCCTTATAAAATAATAAATTTTATGAGTGGTTATTCCTTTTTATTTTTCATAAATGAGCCAGTTTAAATTTGTAATAGGAGCAGAATAGGAGTGGAGTGAGGGGATTCATTTTAACACTCCTAGATTGTAAACAATCCTTTGATTACCTGAGCCTTGGTTTTTTTTAAATTTCATCATTTACCTTCCACTCTCGCATAGGGATTTTTTTCATGCCTTTTAAAAAACCTCTCTGAAGTGCATTGATTGGATTCATATACTGTTGCTCACACTTTCTTTGTAACACAGCTATGGATTAGGAAGAATGCAATTTTCAGTTTTGTCTCTAATCCCCTTCTGGATAACAGCCAATATTTTTACTTCTCCGGTGGATCAGAATAGCCCATCCAACTAATATACATAGGAAGGACCTAAAGCGATATCCAGATCACTTGCTATCTTGTAATTCAGAGTATATTAATGGTAAGTCACAGTTTCCATTACATTTGTATACTTTTAAATTCATGCACAGAATTCTTATAACATGATTTCTCTTCACTAGAAGACTGGTGAATCTTCGCTAGAAGATTCCTTGTGGCTAGAAGACCTCACACCTACTTGTGGCCTGGAGTATTTCTGACTCCCTCTACTGCCAGACCATTAGTCATCTCTAAGTTCCCAATATCTCTGAAACTCCAGCAGCACCAATATCTGAGAATCCAGTAAACAGATTAGTCAATAAAGGGGTGCAAAGTGAGGGTGCTACAATCCAAGCATTAGAAAGAGAAGGATTACTCATCTGGGATCTAGGAAATATAGGTGAGAAGTAAAAGATAAGAGGAAGAAAATGTAGGGAATATACAAATGGACAGAAATCACACCTTTCAGATACTATCTTTGATTTTGGCGATTTTATTGCCTTTCCTATCTTTCAAATAAAAGTGACACAAGGCTGATCCTTGACCCAATCCTCAATGAATATACTGTTTATTATTTTCCCCAGAGAATAAAACTTATCCTGTTGTTTTTCTGAATGTTTAAAATCCACTGTGCAGTGAGCACAGTGGTACATACCTGTAATCTTAGTGACTTGGGAGACTGAGGCAGAAAGATCGCAAGTTCAAGGTCAGTCTTCAGGAAGTTAGTGAGAATCTGTCTCAAATTAAAAATAAAAAGGACTGGGAATCTAATTCAGTGGAAGAATACCCTTGGTCAATCCCTAGGACTGCAAACAAAGAACTCCCCGCCCTCCACCAAAAACATTTTAAAAAAATACACAGAACTTGCGATGTAGTTTTTATTTGCTTAAACCAATATTTGGCTTGATTTTACTAATCAAAATCATTTCTTCCAGTGTGTCACTGTGTTCCCTAGTCACAAAGTACTGTGCTAGTTGTAAGAAAAGAAAGACTGCCAAGATGGTGCTTGGTCTCATGGGGCTTAGACTCTTGAACAATTTTTAGTGTAAGACCCAATTTAAGGCCTTTCAAGTGTTTCATGTTCCTCTTCTCTACATTACACTATTCACCACATTTCCAAACTCTTCCCCAGGAGACATCATGTTTTCCTTCTATAAATTGTCACTGCTCTGTGACAACTGAGTTTATACTTTAGTAAACATTCCCCATCCTGGTACATAAGGAAGTGATACTCACCAGGGAGCCTGCTTTTGGGGTCTTGTAGAGAGTTGTGCTCATGTCTGAGTTACATCTACCATTCCGGAAATCTGACTGCTTGAAATAATGGATTATGCAGATTTTTACTAGGGTGATAAAATGTTGCCAAAATTTTTGTCAGTGTCCTTCATAAAACTATTTAAAACTCAGTCCTTACATAGCTTTAGAACACTTTGTGGAGTTATGCTGTTTTATGGAATAGTTTTTTCCTTACTAGCCTTACTGAGCAGAGCTATGGTTTTAGAAAAATCCCCCCTTTTGCTGGCCAATCTCTAGGCACCACCCAAAATGTCACAACTAAAAACAACTGTTTAAGAGAGGAAGGAAATGAAGTCTATCTTAGTCTTCCTGTGTCTGAGACGAATGTGAAGGACAGAAAATGTCACATTCAGTTCCTCCAGATTTTCATAGCCCCACCCACGGAAAGAAGCTTGTCTTTGGGTCACAAAGCAGTAGCTCTGATTGGGGGTTCTTAATAAGGTACTGATCTTCTGTTCCAAATGCTGGGTCTCTCTCTCCAAAAAGCAGTTACTACTCCCAAGTGATTCAATGGCAGAAACCTCAATCCAAACAGCAGAGCGCCAGGAGACCTCATTACCAAGGCAGCTCATTTCCCAATCCTGAGAACACCACTTAGGAGAATGGAATTGGCTAAGCTATTAGGAACAATTTGTGGGGTGAACAGGCTCATCTTCGCTCTAAGATGGTCCTGTTAGGACCCAGGTCATGTTTTTTGCCCACTGCTCCTGTGCCAAGGGAGGGGGGGCTTAAGGTCTTATGGACGGACTCTTCATATTGAGACAAGAGGAGTGGCAATTGCCCAGTGGGTTTAAGCATGATTTCCTGCTGCTGGGTCCATAAAGGGCTGACCTCCAGGTGCTTTGACACTGGAAGTCAGTTTAAAGTCTCTGGGTAGATTCATCAGTTCTCCTCTCTAAATTCTATTGTATGAGTTTTTATACTTTTAAACTGATATTTCTCATTTTTCTTTGATTTCTAAATAAATACCTTACATTTATTTTGGAGCCTTGAGCTCAGTTTGTCTCCGGACCTCAGCCTTGGTAGGCCATCCTCCATAAACAAAATCCACCTCATTACCTATAGCTCAAACAAATTGCAATCTGTCCTGAGTCTCGATGTATGTAAAAGTTGGACTCAATCATCACGCTTTTTAATCATTTATTAGTATTGATCTTCCTGTTTTCCTAACTCAGTTATGGCACATCTGGGTAGACTCTGTCATTCATCTGCTGTTCTCTCAGTGTGCCTACAGCTGGTCATTCTAAACAATAATTGCTATACATATTCCATATTATTATATGGTAGGTACAAAGCTACCATATTATTATATAGTAGGTACAAAGTATGTGGAATGTACATACATATACTCATTCATTTTATCCCAACAATAAACTTGAGGCAGTATAATTACACTTGTTTTTCAGAAGACAAAACAGGTACAACAGATGTTATGTTATTTTCCATGGGACAGTGAGATGAAGAATGGGAAAACAGGATGAAACGCAGGACCCTCATCTGCACAAGTTGTGCTGTATCGGTGAGATTGAAAGCAGCTTGAAATGGTGTTCAACGGTTGTCCTGCTAATGGTAGCAAACTGTGACGGTGCCTTGGTAAATGGTAAAAAA